TAGACGACTATGCACTCTTTTCTCGTGTCCACGTGTATGTGCAGTGCGTTTACGGTGAAGTCGTTCAGAATGGATGGTACACTGACTTGAAGGTTAAACGAAATTAGGCCTGACATCTTCCTGCAAATATATATTTAAAATAATTCGAAGGTTTCCACATTCGCGTGCGATCTGCAAGCCTGCAACAAAATTTTATAAAAACCTACTAGACTGTGCCAATGGAAGTCGAAAATAATACAGTAGACTAACTCAGGTTCAGCAGTCATTCGGAGGGACATCAAGGTGACCTGCCTTAGTCAAGCCAATATTAACCTAGTGAAGGCCACACTGCCATCACTGAAGCCTCACATTCGACTACGATGTGCAAGCCTGCAGCCAAATGTCATAAAATCTACTCCACTGTGCCAATGGAAGTCAAAATAATACGCCAGCTGAAGCATTGCCATAAAAATTATGGACAAATTTTCCATAAGCTCTCAACTACATATGTCTTCAAACTCATGCATGCTTAATTCACCACCAGAAATATAGTGCCCCATCCACGAGTAGTGTGTAGTTGAAACCTGAGCCTAACCATGGCGATTCGGTGGGATTAAAACTATCGTTAACTTCTTTTATTTTATTTATTTGTAAGATTTTCGGATGAGAGCAACTGTGGCTTCGTGCAGTCTCTCTACTTTCCCACATCTCGCCTGCAGCTCAGTAGCCACCTGATATCGAAAGAATGTCTTCTGCTTGCGCAAAGAAGTAGCGAGACTAACCCTTGAGGAGAATGCACTTTGCCGATGCAATTATCAATGATCGGCAAGACTTCTTACTGGTTGTAGTGAGATGCATTACAATACGAGTTCGCTCCCTTCTATTGTTTAATATTTGGCGTCTTCTTTGCCTTCTGCAGGAGTTATGAGGAGATTAGCTGTCACAGTGCTATAGCACCACGCATTACCTTACTCCAGCATCCAACGCCTTGGTGCTACGGATATTTGAGGTGGAATACCGTCGGTACTCAAATGATGCCCAGTAGTATTTTTATGGTGTTATCGTTATTCAAGCCAGCATTATTAAAGTTGGGTTAGGGCTAGGGTATAGTGGTGACATCACCGAAGAATGAGTAGACATTCATTTAACTCCGGAGATAAAGTAATGCAGAAGGGCAGATTAGCCAGGCGTACGTTAATACACCTTAGATGAGTGCGTGCCAATGGCATAAAGCAAATCGAAATCTGGCACAAAAAATAATTTCAAAAAAGGCTGACAACATCTTGGGAGAGAACTCGCTCAAATTGATTTCTTTTTAAGAGTGGGGGGATTGCTCAGACTGAAAATTATAGTAAAAGCAACATAATGTTG